CCCCCCCCCCCGCATGCTGGGCTGTTTCGTGTCTCCCTCGCACTCTCCCTGCCCTCAACCCCCCTGCATACTCGTTGCCCCTCTCCCATGTCCTCCCATGTCCCCCCATTGTCCCCGTACCTCCCCCCTCCCCCCGCGCACTCACGCGCCGGCGCCTTCCCGCGCGCTCGCCCGCCCCGCCCCTCGCGCACGCGCGACCCCGCCCCTAACCCCGCCCCGTCCGGGGAAGAGGCAGCACGGCCCAGCGCGCTACCCAACGTTCGTTTGTTCCAATGTCCCGGCGTCCGCATGTCCCCACTGTCTGTGTGTCCCAATATCCCCATATCCCGGTGTCCGCATGTCCCATGTCCTGTTGTCCCTGTGTCCCGCTCAGAGCCCGTCCATCAGTGCCAGCAGGTCCTCGCCCTTCTCGGCGCTGCCCGGGCGCGGCTCCGCCACCTCCAGCTCGCCCAGGATGCGGGAGAGCTCCGCCCGCCGCCCCGGCTCCTGCGGGACAGACACCGCGCTCAGCCGCCGCCCGTGCCCCAACCGCGGCCGGGACTGCGCTGGGCTGGGACCTGCCCCTTTAACACCCAAGTCGGCTAAAACTTGCTCTGGTGTTTTTCAGGATTCAAATTTTCTTAGTGAATATTCACCAGTTCCACTGTCTCGACAGAAAATTTGCCATTGCTTAGTTACAAGCTTAAGTGAAATGGGAAAAAATGTATTTTTAAGTCCCTACTCTGAGTGAAATATGGTCCTTAGCAAGGCTGGGATGGTGAGAACCAGTGATGTGAAACATCTTGCGTACCTGTGTGGCTTCAATGTTGATAACCTTGTAAGACAACTCCTCTGGTCTGGTCTGTGCAGCGTGTCTTGATTAAAAACATGAAATGAGTGGTTAATCCCATGAAGATGTATAAGGAAATGATAAAAATCAGACTTCATGAGGCTTCTGTAAGCACAAATGATGCTCAGAGGATGCTCACAGGGTGTGATAGGATGGGGCTTGAAGCAGCCTGGTCTATGGAAGGTGTCCCTTCCCATGACAGGGTAGAATTAGAGGACCCTTAAGGTCCTTTCCAACCCAAACCATTCTGGACTTCGATAAAGTTTGGACTATGCCTCTGTTCCTACTCAGCAAATTAATGTATTCACCCATTTGGAGGCTTCTCCCTGTCCTAGATATTTTTGTTAAGTGTAGAAGAATGGGAATATTTCTGTAGCAGAGATGAAAAGCAGATAGAAACATCCTGCTAAAATGGCTGAAGGGATGTTTCTGTCCAGTGGCATTGGGAGCATGGCTGCATCACAGGAAACATCCTGGAGCAGGATAACAATGTGCTGGTCTGACCCTAAAGCTGTTCAGGACCAGCTTTGGCCTCCAGGGCTCCCCACAGGCAACCCAAACCCAAACCATGAAGGACTCCAGCGTACTCTTCCTCCTCATCGGTTGTGAACAAGTTCAGCCGAAATCCTGTCTCGCCACCAGTGGGTTTCTGGATGTCCAAACCTCCCAGCAACCGGGCCAGAAAGTTCAGCTCTTCTTTAGCAAGAGGGTTGGGGGCTATGTTCTCCTGCAGGAAACAACAGGGGGTCTGGTGGACAATTACCTGAGAGACTGGGGCTGCAAGGAGCTTTGGTATTCCATATATGTCCTTCATATATTTCTGATATTCCATACACGTCCTTCAGAGGGATATAAACACATTTCCCTGTTGTTCCTGGGACAGACTGTGCAGATTACCAAGTAATCACCAGCTCAATACTAGAAATGGTTGCTTGAATTCATACACTCAGCACAAGATACTTTTCCAGCTAAACTGGACAGATGAAAAATCTCTAAAGTCAACTTTCTGTATTCTGAGGAGATGAAAATGGAAGCAAGCACATCCTTGCATGAGCGTGTGGATTCTTTGGGAAAATGTGCCTTTCTCCTGGCTTCAAAGGACTGGGGCTCTGAGAACAACAGAAAAGCTTCCCTGAACTTATCCCATATCTAGAGACTAAGAATTTGGCCAGTTTAAGCAGTGCCAGGAACAGGACAACACTGACCTTTGCCTGGGATGCCAGGTTTTTGGATGATCCTGACATGTGTGTCTCCACTGGCCGGGTCACGCTGTACCTAGAGGGAAAACACACAAAGAACAGCTTGTTCTGGGACGAGCTACAGCAACCAGAGGGAGCAGCACAGGATGCCGAATTTTGAGATATTTTTTTGAAGAGTGAACAATTGCAATGAGAAGTTAAAGCTCCGTGTGGTGCAATACTGAGGCACTAAGACGTGTGAGGGACAAAGTTGTGAGAAGGAACAGATCTCAGAAGGATGGAAAATGTACATTAAGGCAAACATGGAGAACAGAAAGGATTTTTTGACTGTGGTTACATTAAATCACATTTCACATAAGGTGCAGCACCAGGTGAGAACACTCTTTCCTCAGTTCCACTGTGGACATAAATCAAAGTTTTGCTGTTTTCTGCAGCTCTTTATACACTGTTCATACATGTCCTGGTGCAGGACAGCACCTTGTAACAAACTCAACTTGATAATTAATAGCAAAAGAGGCCAAAACCGTACCAGGCTGAAGATGTGCTTCTGAACAATCCATCAGATTTGGTTCAATGTTCTACATAGAACAAAAATTACTTACATATTTGTTCCAAGTTTGAGGACTCTGTCTCCATAAAGCTCAAAAGATCCTTCCCTTTGTGGAGTAACGTAATTCCCAGCAGTGGTGAACTCAGTCCTTCTAACTTCCACTCCTTTGTGATTGAATATCCTTAAAAATGAGCCATTATTGAAACGTTTAGTAGTTTCAGTCCTGATTTTAGTACCTAATTCCCCTGCTTTCTGCATGAGGGGAATAAAACTCCATTCTGTACATTGCTAAATACCTCTGTTATGGGATAAATTACTAACAGCTAATTCACTGGGATAGAAAACTCCAAGAGCAGCTCAGCATTTCATTGCTGCATGACTTAGTCCCAAATTCTGCCCTTTAAATAGTATTTACTGGAGGTTCAGCTATCCATGCAACAGGAATGGCAATTTGAGCTGGATTCCTGAGCCTTCTGGAATGAAATGCTCTTCCCTGAGCAGCCCTGCACATGGCACCAGCTCACCTGATGAGCCCTGGCACCTCTGTGCCCCACGGGACAGGCCCCGAGATTGGCAGCACGAAGCGACCATTTGAGTTTTGCACTTTATCCTTCAGGAAGATGGAGACCTGCAAAATGAAATCACAAACATCACACCCTGGGGAAATCCTCTACGGACCTTCCCATCCAAATTCCCTGAAATCTGAGCTTAAACCTCTCTGCCTACAGTGGGGAAGGTCTCCTAGAGCTCTTGATGTGTGTATAGGGATGTATTTACAAAGCCAGTGATGTGGAATTATGGTCCAGAGGATGGGCACACTGACCTAACATGAAAAAAATTAAATTAAAAACTACATCCTGTTTGTGCACATTAGTGTGACCAATTTGTTTAGAGAACATCAAGACTTCATGCTCAGGTTTCCTATCAAGTTTCTTCTAAAAGGAAAAATGGATTTATCAATCAGCAAATCACAGTCGTAGAGATTCCTTTTGTCATAATATTGTAGAATTATTCAGCAGTATTGCAGTATATGTGCTCAATTTATGAAATTTGAGTGCAATTACAAGCACATCAAGATGACTGAAAAGCACAAGCAACAAACCCAGACCTGCAGTGTTTATAAGCAAATCCCTTTGTATTCCAGCCCCAAACTCCCTGTCATTCTCCCTGCCTAGTTGGATTGGGCTCTTACCCTGATGTGCATATCTTGGAAGAAAATGAGAAGTGTTTGCCTGATGAGCTGGAATTCGCCATCAGAGAGACAGTTGTAGGTCTGGAAAAGGAAAACCATCATGCAAGGGTTTACAGGTGTTCCATGTCCCACTCAGGGAAAGAGGGAACAAGTACAGCTGAATATTCTGATCAGCTTGCAAGGGGAGCAGAGATGCTCTAAGGGGGCTGCTGGTCGTTATCAGTAATTATTGTCTGTGACTGAAAGTCTGATTTAATTTCTGCTGAAATCAGTGGAGACTTAAATCAGGCTGAATAAGCAATACATTGATTTAAACTGGGCCAGTAGAAAAATACCACTTAACTCACAGCCCTCTCCAATGTAGTAATCCATCTCTGAAGAGATAAAAAACCCATAAAATCAAACCAAAGTGTGTCCCACCCTTTTTCAGAGGATCTTACCTCAATCAGCCGCCGGAAGGTCTCATCCACCTGGTTTAGAATGCCAGGGGAGTCGGAGATGAAATCCTTGATGGCATCCAGGTGGTTGAACGTGACCAGCAGAATGTCCCTGGGCCGAGGGCACAGCAGCACTTGGTATTTGAAGGCCATAGTCATGAGGTCGTAGAGCTGCAAAGGAACACAGGAATGTTGGTCCTATTACAGAAGAAACCTCCTAGGCATGGAGAAAGGGATTAAGTCAGGCCAGCACCTGCCTGTGGGACTGTGGCACAAGGAACCATTTTAGCTTCATTTCCTGAAAAAACAAGATCTCTGCAGTCCCATCCCCAGCCTCCCTGCTGGGTCTCCAATGTCACCAGTGCTCAGTGAGGTCACACCTTGAGTGCTGGGTCCAGTTCTCGGCCCCCTCAGTGCAAGAGAGACATTGAGGGGCTGGAGTGTGTCCAGAGAAGGGAACAGAGCTGGGGAAGGGGCTGGAGCACCTAAAGCAGCTGAGAGGGCTCAGCCTGGAGAAAAGGAGGCTCGGGGGGGACCTTCTGGCTCTGCACAACTCCCTGACAGGAGGGGACAGCTTGGCGGGGAGGTTGGACTCTGCTCCCACAGAACAGGGACAGGAGAGGGAACAGCCTCAGGCTGTGCCAGGGGAGGGTCAGATGGGACATCAGGAAGAATTTCTGCATGGAAATGTTGATTAAACATTGGAAAAGGCTGTCCAGGGATGTGGTGAAGTCCCCATCCCTGGAGGTGTCCAAGGAATGACTAGATGTGGCACTCAGTGCTCTGGGCTGGGTGACAAGCTGGGAACTGGGCACAGGTTGGACTTGACGCTTTTGGAGAGCTTTTCCAACCTCACTGATTCTGTGAATTTCAGCAGCCCTGACAGCTGGGTAGAGGGCTCTCTGGTAATCCCATTCCTATCATTTTTTCTTAAATTGGCTGTGGATACACGGTTTGCAGGCAGTAACTCTAACACCTGCAGCTGCAAGACAGTGGGTGTCAGTACAGAAATACAGACATTTATCCACACCCATATACCAAATATGTGTATCTTTTTATATGAATATATACTGAAACACCTGATAAACTTAAGGAATGCTTAGTGAACTTGTTCAAATCAAACATTTAGCTGTTCAAGCAGAAAAACTCAGTTCTGAAGCAGCTGATTCCACCATGGATTTTCTTGGCTGAGAATCATTTTCACAAGGAAATCTGTTCCAAAATGGTAAAGCCACGGGTTAATTATTGCAACAGAAACTGGTGAAGGGCAGCTGGGGAGTGCAGCAGAGGCAGGCTGGGCAGCAGGACTGTTACCTTGTCCATGCTGGCCTGGTTCAGTCTCATGATGGAGGCGTGAGCCAGCCGGTCATACACGGTGCGCAGGGCTTTCTTGGAATACAGATCCTGGGGCTTGAACAGCTCCTCCATGAATTTTTTGTTGAACATGGTGGTGATGATGTCGTTCATAACTGCAAAGACAAATAAACTCTGTAGTTTGCTGCAGAACAGCACGTTCCTGGTCCATCCCAGCTGCAACAGTCACACTGGGGTTACCTGTGCAGAGCAGAGACAGAGCACATCAGGAGAGAGGGAACAGCACCTCTGGATCCAGCACTGCCTCACTCCCATCTGGGCTGAGCCAGCTGGTGTCCCCCAGGGCACAAATGCCACCTGAGCTGCAGGCAGCAGTCCCTGCTTCCCCATGGGAATAAGGCTGGCTTTGTTGCCCTGGTTTAACAGCTATGGCTGGCACTTTTCACTTTGAAATAATGTTGCTTGTAGGCTGCTCTGTGTTATTATCTAAAAAAGCTGCAGTTCTGCTTCCTAAGGAGAGTGTTTTGCACTGTGGTAAATCTTTGCAGATTGCAGCTGCCTGACTGTGCCTTGATACCATCAGTCTATTTTTTAACTTCTCAACAGAAGCTCCTGCAGGGCTCTCTGTAATCTTTATTCCAAGCAGATTAACACTGGCAGGTATTTAATACAGCATTTATATCCCTGGGATCTATATCAACATTCAAGGCTCTCACAGCTGAAACATCTGCCGGCCCTAAAGTCTCAAATGCTGAACTCCAAACTTCCTTACTTGTGGTTCATTTTTTATGTGCAAATTTAGCCATTTTTATTTTTACTGTTTTATTACTAAGGAGTTCTTAGAACTCAGAAGTGCTGAGTGTGAGGGCTGTGCTCTTGTTATTGAGCTTTTAATGCAAACAAGATGGAAAACATTGTGCAGTGGTTCAAACAGATGCAGCATCTGAGCTTTTGTGCTGGATCTGCCCCTTTTATTATCTCCCTGATACACTCTTAAGAGTTATCATCAATAAACATTTATTCCTCTATTAAAAAAAAGTAAAATGAATACATCAGGTCACAGATTACCGTGTAAGTGTGGAATTTCCTAAGCACTTGACTTTTAGGAAGCTCATAATGCCAAACAATTATTGTGGATTAGAAAAATATCAGAAATAATAATAATAGAAAATAAGAAAAGGAGAAAAAGTGAACATACAGAGAGTCGTAGTGACTGATGGTTTAAATTATTGCCCTTATGATTCCCTGGAGGGGTCACACACCTGGCTTTTCACACCTGTCATACACCAAGATACAAAACAAAGGTAATTTCCCTGTAATTTCATCTCTTCCTAGAGGATAAACTCCCTGGGGGTCTGCTGGGAGCCTGGGCAGGGAGAGCTCTGCTCCCAGGAGCAGAGACCTCCTGAAGTGACTGCCTCCTCTCTAAACCTGCTGGTCACAGGTTCCTTGTGCACTGGTCACACACAGCTCAGCAGCCCCTGTGCTCCACCTGACAGGGCTCCCTAGTCCTGGTTTAAACACCCCAAAACCACAGACAGATCTCAGCTCCTGAGCAGTCTGGACTAGGAATACACCTAATAACAAAGGAGAAAAAAGTCCCTCCTTTCTCCCTTCCTTTCAAATAAAATGACCATAAAACAATCCCTACTTGCAATCTCAGACAGAAATCCCCTGTTTTTCATGGAGAAAATAAAATATATTAGTACTAGTAGATATTAGTATCTAGTTAATTTTGCAGGGAATCAATAATGACAAAATAAGAACTTCTGCTTCATACTGCTATTAAGGAAAATATTTTTAAGGTGCTTGTGTGTGCTGCCCACACAGACTTTTCCTGTCTTTGGAGAGTCACAAACAACCCAAACCACCAGGAGACAAACACCTCCCTGTACACTGATTTTTCAACAGAATTGAAGGTCTGTGTGAACCACAGACATAAATTATCTTCTGAAATTAAAACCTGTTGTGTGGGCTATAAAAAGAACTAAGAAAGATATTAAAAAAAAAAAAATCACAGTAAAGGGCAAATTGATAATAAATCTCTCACATGTTTGATAATGACACAGCAAAGGTCTCAGCCGGGCCCTGGAGTGGCCATGGCAGGTGACACAGGAGCATTAGCCCAAGAACATGGCACAAGCAACACAGAAAAAGCAAGTGAGCAGAGAGGGGAGGTCATCAACTGGGATGAGAGAAGGGAAACCAGTATAGCCAGTGCGATGGACAGGACTGAAGCTGGGGGTGACGGTGGCTTTGGCCTCCCCATGCCATGTCTCTGGTGACAGACAGCATGTGTCAGTGGCATGGCTGGGATGCATGACACTGGAGCCACACCTGGGTGATGCTGGTGGTTCCTGGAGGATGTTTGGGGCAGCAGAAGGAACATTCTGAGTTCTGGTCAGTCACCTTGCATGCCACAGGTTTGTGGTTCCTCAGGGAACCTTGTCACAGCTCCATCGGTGACAGCCCCAGGTGGTGACTCCAGGAGCCTCCTGAGATCCCCTGGGGCACTGAGAACAGGCAAAGTATTTTCCCTCAAAGGAGAAGTGATGGGTCTGGGATCTGCCCTTGAGCCAGCCTTGGCTCACTACACCACAGCTCTGGGCAGCTCCTCATCATTTTGGATGGGATGGAATCTGTTCCTGGACTTCTGAGTTAAAGGCTAGGAAAAGGGTGTGCTTGGAAACAGGATGTAATGGTAAGAAAAAAGCTGGGGAAAACTACATGACATCACCATTTACCTTCAGTAAATATTAAAACCTACCAATGATGCTTAAACACAAATCATAACCTTGACCCCTCTTAAAAAAGGGCTGCTCAGAAGGACCCTGTAAGTTCTGCTCATGCTCACTGAGCAAAAACCTGAGATTCAACACATTAATTTCCTCATTCCTTAGCACAGCCTGTGCTGGAGGCTCCTGTTCCAGGGCAGATTCCAGTGGGAAACATGTCCACACCTCAGCTGCTCTCCTGCAGCACCCCAGGGCTCAATCCCACCCTCAGGATCCCTCCAGTCAGGATGAGCTTGGCTGAGGTGTGGGCACCTGCTCCTTTGGGATCACTGCCAGGTGTAACCAACAGCACAAGTGGGTAAAGCAGCTGGGATGGGAATGCCTTCAATCGTCCTTGGAGTTCACCTGTCCAAACCCTGAGCAATGAATTAGAGAAAACCTTAGAAAAATGGAATATACCAAATATTCCTGCATTTAAGAAGAAAAACAACCTGCACAATGCTCACATAATTGCATGCTTGCATGAAAACAGTGGTAAAGAGACACAAATACCATTTTTTGCAGGCAAGACCACCAGGATAAAAAGCTTTGATCCATTTATAGGCTTGGTTAAATTAAAAACTGATTTTTGAGGCCATATGATTTTAATATATGGTCTGTTTTTTCACTGATTTACAGTCAAAAGAGCATTTAAGGACCAGATGAAAATTATTGTTCATTTGTGACACTGACTGAAGGCTGCAGGAACAGCCTCAGGTGTTCAGGCACGATGAGCCCCAGGTGTGCACGTGGGGTTGGACTGGTGCATGCAGCCAGCAGTTACTGTACCTCGTTTCCTGTCCACATCTGTCCATTCATCTACACGAAGCATATAAAACAAAACAGCAGTTCAAGATGTAAGAACAAGAGTTGCAAGGAAAAGAAATAGAAAGAAATAAACTTTTTTTAAAAAAAGCTAACAAATGGATTTTGTATCATCAGCATTCAGCACTGAATGAGAACCTCATCCTCCCCTTGGATAAAATCCTGCTGCTTCAGTGCACATCAAATTTTACCCTTTGCATGAGCTTAGGTAGGTTTCAGCTGTATTTTGCACTTATAAGTAACCAACATTTGAGTAAAGAGCTTTAAGCATCAACAAATACCTCAGTGTGGATGAACCACATCTCAGTGAAATCAACACACAATTTTTTGGAAGAAAAGAAAAAAATCCATGTGTGGACAAACTAAAACAGTCCAATTCTCCTGCTGAGATACTCCATCAAGATTTAATTGAGCTAAAATCCTAAATTTGTCCCTGTATGAACAGCAGTAAACTTCTGTCAGATCATTCCCTCATCAGGACACACATGAATAATAACAACTTGCTCCCTCACAAACAATACAATAATTACACAGTGAACCCTTTGTGGTTAGCACTTCATAAAGGACAGGCAGAAGGGATAACAATACCAAGCTCATATCAAGTTGATTTTTTAATAAAACACACCAGAGCTTCCCGAGGCACATTCCCCATCCCCTGACACAGAGCGCAAGGACTTGTAAAGCAAAGCTTTAATTTGAAGTGGTAAATCCAGAGGTGGTTGGCTGTGAGCTGGAGTTTCATGCCCCACATGAAGGCACGAGGCTCTGTTTGTACAAGGATTTTGGCCAAATAAGATTGTAGAAAAGCCAGACAAGGTTTTCAGGAGCCGTATTTGTATTTGAATTTCACACAACTGCACGTGTTGCGTCTGCACAAGATTTACATATTTATTCCTGGAAGCTCCTTCCCATTGCAAAACAACCTGGTCTGCCCCAAAAGTCCAGGACCTGGGCTGACATAACCAAATCCTGAGTTGAGTCCAAAAGTGCATTTCTGAAGCTTTAACCCCCGAACTGAGCACAGAAACACTGACATGGACTCTACTTTATCCTTCTGTGTGAGAACCTCCCAAACCAACCTCAGCAACACCTTTGTGCTATTCTTACCACATGAACTTCACCGAGCTGATCAACCCAATGGGCAGCACTTCCCAGTGGAGACCACAAAACACAGAGGGGTTGATTTCTGTGATAATTAACAGTGGGAACTACTGCGATGGAGCCCTGAAATGGGGGCAAGGGAACTCCTGGCCAGACTGATGCTGTCAATTCGCAGCATCCTCTGGTGACAGCACAGCATGCCCCTGTGTGTCCCGGTGCAACAAGTGACAGAAGGAGAGGACACAAAGCTGCGCCAAGGGAAGCTTAGGTGAGAAAAAAATTCACTGAAAGAGTGACTGGGCAATGGAATCGTCTGCCCAGGGAGGTGGTGGAGTCACCGTCTATAAAAAGCCTGGACATGGCAGTCAGTGACATGGTTTTGTTGATGAGGAGGTGTTAGGTCATAGGTTGGACTTGATGATCTCAAAGGTCTTTTCCAACCTCGTTCATCGTGTGATTCTGTGGCAATCCCGGGAACCGACAAGCCGGGGGGAGCAGCCCGAGCCGCGATCGGGGAGGGGGGAGCGGGAGCAGAGCCCTGCCCGGGGACACCGCAGCGGCTCCCCAGGCGCTCCGCAGGCACCGGGAGCGGAGGGAGCCGTGCCCGGGGACACCGGCAGGGGCTCCCCGGCGCTCCGCAGGTACCGGGAGCGGAGGGAGGCGTGCCCGGCCCCCGCCCGCCGCTCACCTTTGCGCGCCTTCTCTCCAGGGATGCTCTGGGCGCGCAGCCGCTGGTCCAGGATATAGAGCATCTCCCCGCCCAGGTTCAGGAACAGCAGCGGCAGCGTCCGCGCCGACATGGTCCCAGCACGGCTCCGGTGCCCGGCACGGCCTAGGGATAGCCCCGCTCCAGCAGGCCGGGCCGCCGCCGCCGCCGTTGCCGGGCAGCCGCGGGGCCAATCCGGGAGTGCCGTCTTGGCCGGCCGAGCCGCGCATGCGCATCGGCTGCGTCAGAGTGTGCCTTCATCATCCCTGCGTACCATCATCATCCCTGTGTGCCTTCATCATCCCTAGCTGTGTGCCATCATCCCATCCTGACCCATGTGCACATCATCCCTGTCTGTGTGTGGAGTATCCCAATCTATGTGCGCACTGTCCCAAGTCCCTGTGTGGATCATCCCATGGCACAGGCACGGCCCCAGCACAAGAATGGTTTGGGTTAGAAGGGACCTCAAAGCCCAGCCAGTTCCACCCCCTGCCATGGGCAGGGACACCTCCCACTATCCCAGGCTGCTCCAAGCCCCATCCAACCTGGCCTTGAGCAATGGGGCAGCCACAGCTTCTCTGGGCAACCTGTGCCAGGGCCTCTCCACCCTCACAGGGAAGAATTTATTCATAATGTTCAATCTATATGTCTTAAGTTTCACATTTTAAGAAAATGTGACAGTGCAAACCTCTGGACTGGCTGTGCTGACAGGACACAGGCAGCACTTGAGCTGTTCCCACTAACAGAGCTGCAAGGTAATGCTGGAGCCCCTAGCTCCTCTCACATACCAACCTGCCCGGCACTCGGCCTGAAATTAAACTTCTAAACCATTTAAACCACCCACTGCCCTTCCCAGGTGCTCAGAATGGCGCAGACCACACCACATAAGCAAAGAGGCTTGAGGTCTTTGGGCAGGTGTTTATTGTCAGCCTGGCTGTGCCACTACACAGGCGTCCCCTCCTGTGCCTGCTTCTCCTGCACCTGCTTTTCCTGCTGTTCCCGTGAAGTCCTTGCTCTTGCCTGCCTCTCTCTCCTCTGCTTCTGTCTCTCAGCTGCTTTCAGCTTCTGCTTCTCCTGGTACACCTGTGGAAGTAGGAGAGAGATAAAGCTGCCTGCAGAGCTGCTCCCCAGGCTGTCTGCGGCAGGCAGAGTGGTTCCAGCAAGAGCCAGTTCAAATCCTCCCTCTGTGCCTTCCTTGCTCCAGGCAACTATCTGAGGTTATTCTGTTACAGCCACCCAGCCAATCACTGAATCATTCAGGTTGGAAAAGGCTTCTGAGTATGACAGAATCAAACCTGATCCCCATCTTGTCAACCAGACCAGAGCACTGAGTGCTATGTCCAGTCATTCCTTGGACACCTTTGGTCCAGTCCTTTGGTTATAATTAAATTTGACTGAAATTCAGAATTTACAAACCTAAGGCATGTCCAGCTTTTTGTTCTGCTCAGTTATACCAAGATCTACTGCATACAGCAGTTACACTCATCTATTCTGAGCAAATCAGGGCAGACAGTGGGTGTTCCAAACTGCCATCAAATTATCTCACATGTCAGTTCCCATACCAGGATTTGAGAAAAAAGGTTTGAATAATAAATTTAATTATTTCAATGGTTTGAATTTTTGAGCAAACCAGTGGCCCAACCTTGTGGACATGATTTTCTAAGTCTGAGAGAGTTTTAAGCCTGTCAATAGCTGATCTGTTCCCAAGGGAAAATTTCTTGAGAACATTTCTCCCTCAAGGACTGTTTTTTGTAAATAGGTTTTTGGTTCCCAAAACAATATTGTACAGCTGTGTTAAGTGTTTTGTCTTGTCCCACCAATGGGATGAGAGAGGTGTTGTTGCCTTTACCAATCATGTTAAACCTGTATTGGAACACCTCCTAAAAGGGACTGAAAAACCCTGAAATAAACCCTTCTGATAATACCTCTGCCTGCTGTAACTGAATCCATGCTCCTATCTCGTGTCTAACACAACCTGAAGTACCTGAGTACAGCATGTGTCAGTGCCCATGACACCAATGTCCCCATGGAGCTCTTGGCTGAGCTCAGGCAGCTCTCTACAGACAGGATCAAAGTCCAAAGTCCTCTGGCTTAAGAGGGCTTGGCTATCAGTCACTTCTAACTTCTAGTGAGGGCGTTTTTCCCTGTCCAGCCTGCTCCATACCTTGATGCATAAAGCCTTCTTGACCAGCCAGCGCTTGGTGACGTGGCGGGTGTAGGGCTGGGGGGGGCTGTACTGGATGCCCAGCTGTTTGCAGGTGTTCTCAAAGGTGCTGTAGTTGACCCGGCGCAGGTACCCCAGCATCTTCCTCCGCCGGTCCAGGTCCATCAGCATGAACCGGCGATTACTTTTGTCCTGCAAAGCACCCAACGTTCACGCCACTGCAGGAAGATGGTCCTGCCATTCCAATAAATTAATGAGAACAGACCATATCTGGGCTGAAAGTGAACGATCAAGTTAAGGACAGAGTCTTAGGACAACTTCTGTTGGCAGATGCTGCTAGTACAGCAGGTCAGCACAAGCTGATCCAAGGAGATATAATTTACTTTGCACTGGAATTGCTTTCTCCCTTCCATGGCTGCACCTTCACCTTCCCAGAAGACAGTTTTCAGCTTGTGTACAGTTTCAGGCTGTGCCAAAGCTGCAGGGAATATCTTCTGGCTAAAACCTGCTTCTCTTGAAGTGTGCTGCTTCAGAATAACACAAGCATTTACCTCTGTTTTGTCAGAAATGAAATATGAAAATAATCCGTGACTTGGCTCTGACTGGTTGTTCTCTGCAGGGGGACAAGCATAGCCTGAGCAACACCAGTCAGGGCAATTCCTCACAGGAGACATCTCCCAGTCCTATATGAGTGATTTGTGTAAAGAACAGGCTTCAGCCAAGGAATTCCAAAGGTCCAATTTCACTGCAACACTTGGCACAGCTTCTGGCTTGTAATAAAAAGGTCAATTCTGTTCTCTTGTACCCTTCAAGTTTTCATGAGTAACAATTATGTACTTCTTTCAAATGCAGTTATCAATCCATTTCTCATCTTTTGTCCTTCATAAAGAATCTTTGGTATCTGTTTTATGTACATAAATCCAGTTGAGATATCTCAAATTTGGGCCTGAACCCATATAGTTGCAGGCAGGGGAGTGGGACATTCACACAGTGTTGCCCACCAAACATTTCCATGAGCAGAACAAGCACAGACTTTGCTCTTTGTTTATTACTGCAGCTGCATTCATTAATTAGTGAAAACTAAGTGGTGAAGACACATCTGCAGCAAGGAGAAATGGAGCGCAACTCTGCCCAAAGGAATCTGCTCAGCCATTTCCTCCACTACAGTAACAAACCAGAACACAGACCAGAGTCGGCCAGAATCCCAGCTGTGCCTGAGCCAGCAGCTCCCCACACTGGCACCAGGGAACAGCTGTAACTATTTTATAAACCTCCTTAGGAAAGCCATAATCCCCAGGATTAAAATCCTCTCATTATAAACTGAGCAAACCACCTGAGCAGCTGCTGTGTGTAGGCTCAGATCCCCGAGTTACCTTAGGATGCCTCTGGAGGTGCTCCTCGAGTGTGCGTATCCTGGCAGTCAAAATAGCAACTGTAAAGGCCAGAGAGAGAAGCTGTGTGAGAGCAGCAGCTTTCCCAGGTGATCCAGGATCATCTGCTTTGCCTCAAACTGCCAACTGAGCACTGCTGCCCCTGCAGGTACCCACAGCAGCACAGCAGGGACTGCCCACGAAAAAACAGTGCCCACAGCAGCAAAACAAACATTGCCCACAACAAGCACTGCCCACAGCAAACACTGCCCAAAGCAGCCCCTGCCCACAACACAGAGCACAACAAACAACACACAACTTGCACATTTGTGAGTGTTACGAGGCTGCTAAATTAGAGGGTAAGATTTTAGCAACACATCATATAAATTTATCTGTGAATTTATTCCTCTTGCATTCATTCAATTCCCAGTGATTTGACATTTATTTCACCTCATGGGATTTAAGCTCTGGGGGAGCAGACAGCAATAAAGGTTTTTTTTTTCCAAAGGCAGCAGACAGGTCTTTGGGATTTTGGGCTCTAGAAGGAGGGGGTGGTGGCATCCTAAGGAACTGAAGGTCTTTACTGATGACAAAGGAGTTGTCAGTGTTGGTCAGTGCAACATGGCCTTTGTCCCTGCACTGTCCCCACTGTGCTTCAGCCACAGCTCTCTGATGCAGGGAAAAATTTGGGTTCCATGGCTGAATTTGGTTCATTCTGGTAACAGCTGCAGCTCAGTGCTTCATGTCACAGAAGTGCTACAAGCAGAATAATGCACACTGCCTTTGGAGTGTGGATGTGGAGAGGGAATTTGGAAGCACCCCAGCGGCCTCTGCAACACCTCCAGACCTGGAGCAGTCCTGCAGGGCATCCTGCAGGCTACCTGCCTCTCAGCAGCACTCCTGGAGGAGATTCTCCTGAGTTATACAGCAAGCTGGAAGTGCTGGAGTGGGAACAACTGAATAGCAGAGATGTTTCATCTGCCAACAATACCCTTCCCCTTTTTAACTTGCCTTGCACCTCAAAGGAGCCATTGTCACTGGGAGACCTCCTGACCTTCTCCACCAGCTGCTGTATCTTTACCTTCATCTTCTCTTTCTGTGGGTCACAGAAAAGAGGTTGTCACTGTCCCAGAACACTGGAGGTCGGAGACAGCTCTCTTCTCAAACACCCAGACAAAGGCTTTGCAATTCAGACCTTTACTCAGGACTTTTACATACTTTTAAGATGAAGTGGCAAGCACAGAGGAATGGCATAGAGATCTTTGTGCCACTTTCCTACCTGTTTGTTTTCTGGGCATATGGAAAGTAAAAATAACCTGAAGGACATCTGCTGTCCAGTGCAATGGTTTCTGGAACAAAGGGGGTCAGCCACAAGCAGCATCAGAACAGCTCAGTACCCTGTCACCCCTGAATACTGTCTTCTCTCATTTTAATATGCAATTGTTACCACTTTAGTGCGATAAATGTTAAGAGCAAACCAGACTTACCACTGTATTTCATCACCCCATATTTACAGTCACTTAAAAATACAATGAATGAAAGATATTTAACAACATAGACAAGTCTCACATGAAGGTGTTCATTAAATCTATTTTTTTCC